GATGAGCGATGAGCGATGGGCGATATCCAATGAGAGCTCTGGTTTTCCGAAAAAATAAAGCTCTCATTGGATATCGCCCATTGTTCATCGCTCATCGCGTCCAGTGTGCGAGGGCCATTACACTATTCCGCTGCACGTGTTCGCACCCTGACGCGACGCGTGATGCGCTCATTGGGAACGAACCCTTAAGGTAACATTTCATGAGCAATAAAAAGTAGCAGCAGTTTAGAAAGTAACTAGAATTGGTGACGTACTTCCGGCGCAAGTTTTTGCTGTTTGAAGTTCATCCTGTTGAACAGCAAACCAGTAAAAGCTGTGTTTTGGTTATATTTATATGTACATATATTCTAAAGTATGGAATCACCAGAGGTAAGTTTGTAGGAACTATAATTATAAAAATAATTACTCATTCGGTTATATCTCAATTAATATTGAAATTGAGATTAACGATTTAAAACACTGCAGAAAACCTATTTCATGGGCAGCGCAGCAATTCTGTAAAATCACCAAACAATGCTAGTTAGTTACTAAACTGCTGCTGCTTTTCACTGCTTATGAAATGTTACATTTCAGGCTGATTTATGCAGGCCGTAACTGTTAATTTATGCCGGAACCGTTAAAGTTTAACACTAGGATTACAATGCTTTTGTTCATAATGGCATTATGAACAAAAGCATTGTAATCCTAGTGTTAAACTTTAACGGTTCCGGCATAAATTAACAGTTACGGCCTGCATAAATCAGCCTTAACGCGTTACTTCCCAACCCTGATTAATAGTAAAACATTTTTTTCATTTTTTTACAAAATTTATTCGAATATTTATAAAAATATACACATACACATTCATATTGTTATAGTTTATTAAAATTTAAATTCTGATCGTTTTTTCACATGAGCAAAAATTTTATTTTAGGCACGTCTTCATGTGATCTTGTTGACTGTTTAAAAATAAAGAAAGCAGAAAAAAAATAAGAGAATTATCATTTCTCGACCACGCCCGATCCCGAGAGAGAGAGAAAAAAAGCGCCGTGGATCATTGCGTGGAAATCACACGATTATGAAACAGACATTACGCGATCTGCGAAACCTATTCTGCTAAGAACTACTGAAAACGGACCGAAATTGCGGAACGCTCGCGATTGGTTCCGCTCTCGTTCCGCGTTATGGCCCTCGCACACTGGACGCGATGAGCGATGAGCGATGGGCGATATCCAATGAGAGCTCTGGTTTTCCGAAAAAATAAAGCTCTCATTGGATATCGCCCATCGCGCATCGCTCATCGCATCCAGTGTGCGAGGGCCATAAAGCCCGTATCAGACTACGCATTGAAGATTGAGATTTTTGGTTATATTTATATGTACATATATTCTAAAGTATGGAATCACCAGAGGTAAGTTTGTAGGAACTGTAATTATAAAAATAATTGTAAACTAATAATAGTTAGATAATAATTAGTAATAATTAGTAATAATAATAGATACATAGATAAATAGATATGCAGAAAACCTATTTCATGGGCAGCGCAGCAATTCTGTAAAATCACCAAACAATGCTAGTTAGTTACTAAACTGCTGCTGCTTTTCACTGCCCATGAAATGTTACCTTTATGCTATGCATATGCAGCTCATAGATATATAGACTGGGGGTGCGTTCCGAGTTGTGCATGAAACGCATAGACTGCATTATTATTGCGCAGCGCTTCAACATCGTTCCGGATTGAACCTACATGAAGCTAGCCGGCAGAAATTATTAAATATGATTATTTTCAACTTTTCTAAGTGTATTTCGTTTGTAAATCGTTTGTGATTGATTGTGAGTCTGTTTTTAACGTTTGTGATAAATTAGGTTTTTTGTAATTAACAATTTTAGTTTAGTCATGATATCAGCCGATACTTTTTAGTAATAAACAGATTTTATGATAACTGATAACTGTAATCGACAGGAAATTGTTTGTGATTTACAAATATACTAATGTTACATTTGTGAATTGATAAATTTTTTAATTACGTGCAAAATAAGTTTATTTTATAAATATAGTGCGCATGCGCAAAGTATACTCAGGGCTCCTGCCCACAGAGAACGCGTCGACGCATAAGGCTGAATTTACAATAGGTGTAGTAAGCCTTAAGCCTTGTTATTGATAAAAATATTATCAATAACAATTATTTTCCTCACATTTGACTGTGATTATTCAATTTCTTATGGCTTGAGGATTACTATACCTATTGTAGATCTAAGCTAAGGGTAAGGACGATATTATATTTGTCGTACGACAAACTTTTTTTAAGCGTACTGATTGGCTGCAAAATAGAAAATTTCTTGAGTCTCTAGAAATTAGCTAATTAATGCGCTTAAAAAGTTTGTCGTACGACAAATGTAATATCACCTAACACGTGGCGGAAATCGTCACGCGTCTCAAAGTCTTAGCATACTTTGCGCATGCGCACTACAATTATAAAATAAACTTATTTTACACGTAATTAAAAAAATTATTGATTTACAAACGTAACATTGGTTATTTGTAAATCACAAACGATTTCCTGTCGATTACAGTTATCAGTTATCATAAAATTTGTTTATTACTAAAAAGTATCGGCTGACATCATGACTAAACTAAAATTGTTAATTATAAAAAACCTAATTTGTCACAAACGTTAAAAACAGACTCACAATCAATCACAAACGATTTACAAACGAAATACACAAAAAAGTTAAAAATAATCATATTTAATAATTTCTGCCGGCTAGCTTCATGTAGGTACTCGATTGAGCATTGCGAGATAGACAAACGCGTGCCCGCTGTAGAAAGAGAGGTACTATATGAGAGGTCAAGGCCTATGTTTGTCTCTTTTCTTAGCATCTCATTGGTGATTTTCTATATGGAGGGGGACAAAATCACCAATGACATGCTAAGAAAAGAAACAAAATAGGCCTCCCATGTAATACCTCTCTTTCTACAGCGAGCGCGCGTTTATCTATCGCAACACTCAGTTCATTCTATATATCTATGATGCAGCTATGTCAATTTGTATTCGATAGCTCTTTCACCTGTATTATTAGGGCCTCAGCACAATAAAAGGAATAAGGAACAGGGAATAGAGAACAGAGAACAACCGCATTGGAGGGAATGCGCGCACAACACTTGTGTGCGCATTCCCTCCAATGCGGTTTTTCTCTGTTGTTACGTCTCGACAATGCTTTTTTCTTACTATACCTCAGTTAGTGAGAAAAGGATAGCTCTCTATTTTTTATAGAGCAACCTGCTTCCACCAGCTATACCCCAGGGACGCCGAGAGCTAGGACTGATCTAGTGGATTCTAGGGGAATGACGTTAGGCACGGAACTAACCTTTACTAGAGGGATTTTACTAGGTGCAGAAAGAAAAGTTTTTCTATTCTATCGCGAGAATAACATATATATATTCTAGACATATATTACGTAAAGTTATTTCATTAAAATAGCACATATTGATGTTTATAGTATATATATATACTATAAAATAAATATTAGAAAAAAAGATTAATACTTCAATAAACCGAATTTTGTTTGATAAAACGATTGTAGAAAAAAGAGAATATTTATATTTATAAATTATTCATAAGACATGCATTAACTTTACACACAAACTGCATTTCACCAATGTTATTAATACTTATCTGTAATCATATGATGCATGACGAATAACTATATGATGACACTCTTTTAACAAATGCATTCAAATATACTAGATTCTTGTATGCGTATGCCTATCAAGCGACGGGGTAGCGTCGCGACGCCAAGTATATAAAAGAAACGTTTCGGCTTGTCAACGGTTTGCCTATGTTGCCTATGTACAGGGGCCGCGACGCTACCAAGTAGCTTATCCGGAGTTTTACGTCTAATAAAGTTTCGATTAAAATTCCTCAGGAACCACAGGAACCATCAAAAATCTAACGGCACTTTCCTTATATAATGTGGATGCAAGTTTTCGATTGGA